TTATACCGTCGAGTTTTCACGACTTGGTGTCGTATTATATGAGAATATGTGGAATTACATTAAGTTACTCTCCAAAAGAACCATTGAGGAGGTTCCGACATATACACATACCATCTCTTATCAGGTAATTGAACACTTATGGGCTCCTACCAGCTAAGAGATGCTTACCCGGTCAAATGGTCTTTAACGACAATCTTACTATGCCATTTTGTTATACCAAGAATCTGACGCTGATTTTACTCTTTCTTACTATGCCATTTTGGTAACTCTGAATCTTACCCGGTTAGTGCTTACTGGGTAAGAGACGCTTATGGTAGAGTATTTCAGTTACCAAGGATCTTACATGATTAGCTACTATAACAAAATTGGGTTTATAGGACGTTAAAAATTTATATGCATCATAATAGACTACTTTACAAGATTTAATTTATAGTTGCAAAAAGTAAAACCTCATACCTAAATGCGTTGTAATAAGTTTATATGACGCTTTTGGGTGTCATAACAAGTTTTTTTGGGACATTTTAATGAAAAAAATGTCGTATTATCTATTTTATATGACATTATTTGAAAATGAGATATAGAAACAAGTGTCTTATAAAAAGATGGTTTATATGACACTTTCTTAAAAGTGTCATATAAAATAGATAATACGATATTTTATATTAAAAGTATCCTAAAAAACTTGTTACGATGCATAAAAACGTTCTATAAACTTATTACGATGTCTTTAGATATGACGTTTTATTTTTTTAGTCATAAATTAAGGAGCCATTTACTAAACAATCACCCGGTGAGTGCTTACTAGCTCATTTTACCTTATCGAATAAACATGATAAGAATTGAAAATCTTACCCAATAAGAACGATAACAAGAAGCGAGAGTCTTACCCGACAAATGAGAGTGACAACTTTTATCTGATACGCGCTTATCAGATAAAAATATTGTATATGATGTTTTAATCGACTAAAATCATACCCGGCAAGTTAAGTAAAAATGTCGATTATTATCGGTAAGCGTTTACCGGATAAATATTTGATGAACGAGCCCTTAAAATTAGAAGTGAGATGAACTTATAGAAACAGCAACTCGTGATTGTTGATCTTATTATCTTAACCTTCAAGGTTTATCCTTCTCTTACGACCTTGACAACATGTTCCAAAATTATGCACTAATATCTTTGAGTAAATTACGTTTTTCGTCCCTGTGGTTTGTTAAAATTTGCAAATTTTGTTCGAAATTACGATTTTTCATCCCTATGGTTTGTAATTCATTCATATTTTTGTTCTTATGATTTACAATTCATTGTTGTTTCAGTCATGTGGTTTACAATTCTTTATTGTTTTGATCACTTGTATTTAAAGGTAGAAATTAGTCTCATGGATGAAAATAGCAATAAATTGCAAACCATGTGGACAAAAATCGGTATTTATAAACCACGGGGACGAAAATCAAAATTATTAACAAACAGACGAAAACCGCAATCTTTCGAACCCAAAATTGCAACCACTTGAAGGGGAGTGCCACTTGCATTCATCAAAGATTATTGAGTTGCCAAAATTTGATACCTTTGGGGTCATCTAGCAATATGCAATTTGAGTCTATTATGACATCGACCGGCTTCCCGACCCGAACGACGTTGTTGTGATGCAGCCAAGCTAGCCCTCGTGCTCTCCCGACCGCTGTCGTCAATCTTAAAGTCCATTCCATCTTTTTCCGGGGACTACAATGTAGCCGCTGATGAAGGGTTTCATTACACATGTATTTTGTATACCATAAATTTCGTCTCCATTTCAAAGCAAAGGTCTAGAACCAAATTGTGTGCCACAATCTTCCTAAATTTGATTCTTGTTAACAACTCTTTCTCCATCTTGAATGCAGAAACCGAGCCTTGTACATGACTCAGTGTGTTTTCGTTGCCAATTACGTTTTTATCGTCAAAATCATTTCACAAAACTCAATCAACGGATATAAATTTTTCCATCACAGTTACGTGGTGACGGTTTTATGCCAAGTGGAATTCAAAAGATCCTCCGAGTCCCATGCTCAAGATTCACGACCCCGTTCTCATCAGTATTCGACACCACGAAAGCGACAGACGAACCCATGTTTTGTCGAAATTCTAGCCGGTAAATAAAAGATGGAAAGGATCTTGTTGCAACTCATGGGTGGCAATATTGCAAGATCCTCTTCTTTTTGTTTTGGAAATATTTGGGACAAAACTCACTGTCCCCTGTTTGGTGCAACATGAGACAGAACAAGAACTTACTATCCCATGTTTGGCGTGACATGGGACTGAGAGAAGAACTGGTACAAGGCGGGACAATATGAGACAAAATAGGCTTTTTCTTGTTCCATCAAAATAGGTAGAACAAGATGGGACAAGAATGAGAAGGAAACTAAAAAATGTTACTAATCTACCCTAGTTTGATATATAACCTTAATATGATGTTTGTTTTAATGGTCATTACCGTTAGTTTCTGCCGCCGCCACCAGCGATGGCCACCCCAACCTCCACCTTCTCTTCTGCTACAACAACATCCTTCACCGCCTCCATAACCACCATCGTCCATCGCCACCTCTACCATAGTCGACCACCACCGTCTTTTGCCACCACTACTACCGCCGTTCGCCATCTCCAACTCCTCCTCTACTACAACAACCTCCTTAACCACCGACTACCACCGTCCATTGCCACCTTTACAACCACCATCGGCTACCGACCAACACTACCACTGTTGGCCACCTCCAACTCCTCTATACCGCAACTTCATGACCTCCACAACCACCATCGGCAACATCGTCGACCATTGCCACCTCACTTCCATCATAGCCACCACCACAACCACTATCTTCACTATATCAGCCACAACTACCTCCTCCACCGCTGTCAACCGTCACCACCACCACAATCCACCATCTACACGTCCTTTATAACCACTATCGTCCACCAACCCACTGCCTCTACCTCCATAACCACCGTCGGCCACCGACCACCACCGCCCATCGTCACTACTACCGTCAGCCACCACCACTTCCATCATAACCAAAACCACCTCCACCACCACTATTAATACCACCAATTATATCAAAATTTTCATTCAAATTTGATATCATTATATATGTATGTATTCATTTATATGAAAATTATGTAAAAGTATTTATAAATTAAATTCTTTAATAATTTACTTGTGTTAATTATAACTATTATTAATATTTAAAATCATCAAATAACTTTTGGGGTAACTTGTCTAGTTCTGTCCCGTCCAGTCATAGTCGTACCAAACACTAGACATACATTTGTTCTGTCCAGTCCTATCCTACTCTCTTGTCTTGTCCAGTCATATCTAATCATATTTGCATAACAAACGATACCTTAAAAGGCTTTAAAAGTAAGGGTGCGTTTGGTACGCAGACATAACAGGATAGAACAGGACATGTGTTCAGCGTTTGATAAGACATGACAGGACTGAACAGAACTGGTCAAAATGACCAATTTACCCCCCAAGTGAGCTGTTTAGTGTTTTCTTCACTAAATAATCAATATAAATATTAACAAATACGGTGTGCAAAATATAACTTATAATAGAATAATTATTTTTTATAACAAAATATATTATTTGAAGTTTTCGTCAAAACAATTAAAATGACACCAAATAAAAAGTTTGTGGTTTTCTACTTTTATTTTTATCTCTTTTTTCTACATTATTTATTATTATTAATATATCATAAATTACATAAATTAATAAAAATATAGAAACATTATAAAAATAATATTTTGACGACAGTAAAATGAAAGTTTAAGAAACATAAAATACGATAAATAAAATTTAAAGAATGAATAAAATGTAAAAGAGATACCTATTTGATGTTTTAGAAGAGAATTAAATTTTATTTTGAGGTTATATTGGTAAAATGTAAGTCTGTTTCACCTTGTTCCACCCTGTTCCATCACATAAAATTCATGCCAAACATGGGACAAGAATCTTCTATCCTGTTCTGTTATATCCCTGTCCAGTATACGAAACGCACCCTAAAGGATTGGGGCTAGGAGTCACCATCTTCAATTTTTCTAACCCCACAGAAACGTTATAGCCTTTGACTCGAAGCAATTTTTTCGTTACCCTATTTTTCTTGGAAGTGAGTCGCTTGTACTATTGGTGTTCCCACCACTGCTGGATGTGATTCCAAGAGCCGAACTTGAATGAATACACACAGAAAAGTCAAGACCATGCTCCCTAACGGAATGTTTAACCGACCGAATTGGTACGGAAGTTGTAACATGGAAAACCCCGGAAAACACGACTTATTTGAATAACCCGGTGACCTACCAATTGTAGAAGTAGGATTTTGGGCTAGCAATGAGCAACACGTTTACTATGCATTCATATAAAAAACACTCTATATATATATATATATATCATCATCATCATCATCATCATCATCATGCAACACATGCTAGATTCATTGAAGATGAAAGCAAATGGTGATTCTAGTTTGTGTTTGTGGATTCTAATCATACTAGCTTCTTTTTATACAACGATTAATGCCGTTGAGTCCGACATCCGTTGCCTAACATCCATCAAAGAATCTCTGGAAGACCCGGAAAATGCATTGTCTACCTGGGTTTTTAACCACACGACTCACGGTTTCATCTGCCGATTTACTGGTGTCGACTGCTGGCACCCTGACGAAGACAAGGTTCTGAACATTAGGCTACCAGACATGGGACTCAGAGGTTCATTTCCAATGGGCTTACAAAACTGCACCAGCATGACCGGATTAGATCTTTCTGGCAACGACATCTCAGGACCCATTCCGTCTGACATCAAATATGTTTTACCGTTGATCACGTCTTTGGATCTCTCCAACAACAATCTCTCAGGTCCAATCCCACTTGGCATTGCCAATTGCACCTACATCCATCTTCTGAGGCTTGACAATAACCACCTAACAGGCCAAATCCCTCCTGAAATGGCTCATCTTGGTCGCATCAGGGAGTTTAGTGTCGCTAACAACGATTTATCAGGACCTGTACCTATATTTCAAGACATTAGCATCGTCTCTGCACAAAGCTATGCAAACAACTTAGGACTTTGTGGAGGTCCCTTGGACGCCTGCGAACATGAAGACCATGACGATCTCTTTCTTCGAGGGTTTGTGGTTGGATTTCCTCTTTTTACAACCTTGACTACGTTGTTTTTGCTCTTACGTTCACCCGGCATCAGCAACATGTTATCCTATCTTCTTCCTATCAAGAAAACAGAGAGAAGGTTGCATCACCTGATTCCAAGAAGCCCCCAAATCCTATTGGAAGAGGAAAGTAGCAGCGATGAGGGAAAGGTGAAGTCCTCCCTCTCTCTTTCTCGCTCATGTAGTTATGTGTTTGACACACAGGTAATGGCCATGGAAAAGTTAATCCGCCGAATGAGTTTGGTGGAACTTGAAATGGCCACCAATGAGTTTAATGATAAAAACGTAATTGGCCATGGAAACATAGGAGTCATGTACAAGGGCGCGTTCATAAACGGTTTGCTTCTTGCGGTCAAGAGGCTCCATAGGTTTGAGAGCTTAGAGAAAGAGTTCTTAACAGAAATCAAAATTTTAGGAAGATTGCGGCAGACAAACTTAGTACCACTTGTAGGGTTTTGCTTTGAAATGGAGAAGAAATTTCTGGTATACAAATACATGTGTAAYGGAACCCTTCATCATTGGCTACATTGTGTGGAGGATMGGAAGATGGRATGGGSTTTAAGGTTGAAGATAGCAGTSGGGATAGCAMGAGGGCTTRCTTGGYTGCACCACAACAACGTCCTCCGGGTCGCCCATCTCAAAATCAACTCAAAATGCATCTTACTAGATGAAAACTTCGAKCCCAAGATATCTAACTTTGGTGACGCCAYGATCTTGATGGATGCAAGTACCGACTCCCAGCTTTTTAGYGKTTGCARTTTTGYGGTTYCAGATTCTAGTCYTTRTAAGGAGGATGTTTATAGCTTCGGGATTTTGTTGCTYGAGTTGGTTACTGGTACAGAACCACTATATACATGGATCAACTCTACAACCGACTATGTGATTGATGAATGCTTAATGGGACAAGGATTCAATGAAGAAATCCATGAAATCRTTAGAATCGCAGAAAACTGCATTCAYCGCCACAGAGATGACGCGACAAGCATACTTCAAGTGTATCAAGAAATGCGTTCGATAGGGATATCAAGAAATGAAATTTCCGTCACCATTCATRGAGAAGAACATAATGAGGGAGATTACSACRATCTTACAATTTAAATSTTATACCCGACACCATGTTGAAGGCCGGAAAGACCRAGCAAGTTGAAGTTTCGATTTCCCTGACTAAACTTTGCTGAATGCCCCAGAAGCAGCTTATGGTTTTGGCTGAATTCACTAGCAAATTCAGCTGTTGATCAGCAGATGATAATGAAGATTTTGGTTTATATCCCCTTCTCACATGATTATATACACACACACACACACACACCCTTTTATCATTTACTTTCTATCTCCATAGACATCCAAAAATTGGTCAGGTTTAATGGTTTATGTTATAGTTAGGAAATAATTAGAACTTTATACCGTCGAGTTTTCACGACT